TGGACAAAACAGAGCGTAGTGTGATCGAGGCATTTTTGTGTCTCGTGATCAAGATGTCTGAGGCTTCTTTTAGACCGACGTTTTTAAGGGTACGTCAGAGACTGATCTATAGTCCTCACCCTCGAGATCTTTAAACAAAATGACTTAACTGACAGCCAAACATTTCTTTGTTTGTCTGTTTTTGGATGTGGTGTCAAATCAAATGTGGTGTCAAACAGAGTCCGTTTGTTGAAAATTTCCTTTCTTCTATTATTCTTGTTGAAATCGTGAAATAAGTTATATTCCAATAAATATTGCGATTGGTGGAATTCAAATATAGCTTGATGTTTCTTGAGATGTCACTTTTAGGTCTTACACGAACGCACGTTTCTTACAGTTGATAGATTGGGCGACCAGGCCTTCGTCCAGTAAGGAGCGGTTGATTATTTTCTATCGTCTTTGCGACAGGTGAGGAAAAAGCGTTGGAATACTATTGTAGAGATGAATGTTTTGGTTTGTCAAGGGACGAATTGGACAAATAGGTGATGAATCTCTTCAGGCGAACGGCAAACGCTTGAAATGTCAGCTTCCGAGAATCTTTACGGTGACCAATTTGCATTATCAACTCAGTTGATAAAGTCAGCTGAAAGCTACACCGTTTACCCCTTAGTCTTTCTCTGTGTTTGCTTCCAAAACTTCGGCCCTGCATGCTCTCTTCGTAATAGAATGAACTTCAAAGTAAAAGAGAGTATCTAAATTTAACTGTCCACGTTTGTTTATCTTCAGCGTGGCTAATAAACTGAAAGGATTGTTTGTGCTGTTTGCGGGTTACATTATGAAGAACTGTGCTTCTTTGCTGGATGCCGCAAACATCTCCAAAACTGGTAAGCATCCTTTTGAAGGGCAAATTTGAATTTAGTATCGGAAATAATCCGGCATTTCATTGATTGAACTTTGGTACGTTGAGAGAACCTGCGCTAACCTCTCAACAAATCAGATGCTAAACAAAAACTAACTGCGACTTGGCCACGCGCGTTTTCCCGCGCTCAAAGCTGTTAGCTTGTCGTAAGTTTAATCCTTTTTGACTCGTTGTGATGTTAACGTTTTTGTTTGTTAGCTGCGATAACTTTGGTTTTTACTTCTATAATGGGAATTCCCTAGTCCTGCTTTGTAGTTAAATAACTCTCATCACATTAAACAGATATTTTCGAAAATTAGCAGTAATGGCTGCTTTCTTAGTTTCTTAGGAATCAAAATGTATCCTTTTTTGTTTATATTCGAACTCTAGAAGAGAACATTTTCCCGGACGAGTCTCCAAACAGAAACATGCATAAAACTTGCCTCTTGTTGAACTACATGTTGGATTGTTTGCACAAATGCTTCATGTATGACACACACGGATTCTTGGACAGCGATCGTTTCCAGTGTTTGATGCAGCCTCTTGTAGACCAGGTAATGTTTGCGTGACTTGACAGCGTTATGTTACGACAAAACGAATTGTTCTGATTCTTAAGATAGCTTATGCAGGAGACGGTGATTTTGAATGTTTCGTATGTCATCTCTTGTAGTTAATTTTTGTACAATTTTTTTTTTGTACACTGGTTTTTTTAAACAGATTGAAAACCTGTTGGGAGGAGAAGATACCTTTAGAGAGCGGCTTACGAACCACTTGGCCCAATGCCTCGCGCAGTTTGCCGTAGCCTCCGGGAGTGATGCACAGTGGAAACCGCTGAACTATCAAGTATTACTGAAGACTCGACACAGCTCTGCAACAGTAAGTGTGGATTTCTTGACAATGATGCACCATTAAGTCAGTCAAGCCGAAGGCCAGTCAATGGGTGTTGGGTTTAAGTGTTAGCCAATGCCCGTGAGGTCAGTCGATCAATTCAACGGCGACTTTTTTTTGTTATCGGCAAGTCAACTCAGCGCGTTAGTGAGGTTGTTCATTCGGACAATTAGTCAGTCTACCAGGTAGTGAGTCAGTCAGTTTTTTATGCATATAGTCCGGCAATCAGTCAGTCATTTATTTATTCATACAGTCTGGCAGTCAGTCAGTCAGTTTGAATAAGATAATTTGCCACTTCAAGTCTGACGACGTTCGTCTGACGAAGGGCTAACGCTCGAAACGTCAGCTTTTTTACCCTTGACGGTGGCTAATTTACGTTTTCAACCCAGTTGTTAACACTAAATTACCTGCTATACTCTCCCACCGACGCAGCACCACAGTTTCTTTAGAAACTTACCCCTTTATTTTCTTATTCATACAGTCTGGCAGTTAGTCAGTCAGTTTTTTATTCATACAGTCCGGCAGTCAGTCAATCAGTCAGTTTTTTATTCATACAGTCTGGCAGTCAGTCAGTCAGTTTGAATAAGATAATTTGCCACTTCAAGTCATTAACTCAGTTGATAATACTTAATTACCCAGTTTTAATAATACCTAATTATTCGCCTTTTTTTTTACTCCAGGTTCGTTTTGCAGCCCTCAAAGTTCTAGAGGGATTCCACACAAGACTCGGAGAGGAGTTTATGGTGCTTTTACCAGAGTCAATTCCATTCTTAGCAGAGCTTATGGAAGGTTAGAGAACAAAACTTAATGGACGTGACAAATCATTGTGTAACCCACCGTTACAAGTTACGCACTAAATTGTTAGCTTGCGTAGCCGGCGGTTTTCTGTGCCCCACGAAGCTTTGAGCAGCGAAGCTGCGCTGTTTGTTTTCACTGTTCCGGTGCCTTTACTTTCATCGAGTGCCAGTAAGCCACATGGGCTATTTGGCAGCCTCCCTTTTGCTGTAAAATTTGCTAGAAGTATTTTGTAAAGGTCCTACCTTACTTTTTTGTAATTTTGCAGATGAATGCTTTGAGGTGGAACAACAATGTCAGCACCTCATCTCGGAAATTGAGCAAGTCTTGGGAGAACCATTACAAAAATATTTTTAAGGGATATGACGAGACACAGTTCCACACTGGGGAAAACTGCCCAACATTGGCGAATACTGCTCTACACTAGCGAACACTGCTCCACACCGGCGAACACTGCTCCACACCGGCGAACACTGCTCCACACTGATGAAGTTGCTCTATGGACATGAACTTGGTTCAGCCTATTGAAAATTGATTTCCTCTCCAGTGGGAATAAATATAACCATAATCCTTATTCATCAACTCTTATTTTTATTTTATTTAGTGCTGCAGAGAAAAAACAACTTTCATTGGATTTAACTCTTAACGCAGTATTTTGCTTGGGTACAAGGGTTAGGGACAGGGTTAAAAGCTAAAAAGGATCGAAGAGATAAATAACAGAGCAATTTTTGATTGAGTGTCGAAAACAATCGTGGATTGCCCTGGTTGATTACCTTCCTGTGATTGTGGTTGGTCTAGGAGACTCGTGCCCCTTTCCAACGATTTCAGTGGGATTCAGCACCTTCCCTGAGAACAACCTAGAAAATTCCCTCTGAATGTCCTTCTTAAGAAAAGAGTAGAGGACTGGATTGACAGCAGTGTTGGCGATCAGTGCAATAGAAACTATGTGATTCAGCGTCTTGGTAGACTGACAAACACCGATGAGATGGCATAGACAGTGATAATTCCAGCCGATGTATGTGACATTATAGGCGGTCATCACCATGATAATCAAAGCAGTCGAACCCCTGAAGTTTACATTGGACAGGGCAGGTGGCCTGTTGTTGACTGCACCCGTGGCATGGTTGTACCGGACCTGAGTGGTCATTATACCGATCTGGCTGTTGACCTTCTGGGCGACGCGAAGTAGATGGAACGTCACAGCGACAAAGAAAACAAAGGGCAGGATTTGGAAGATAATAATTCGGGAGATTTCCACGAGCATGGTGTACTTTGGATTGTTGTTGTGAGTGAAGATGGCAGGAAAGAAGAAGAGCAAAAACGGGGAAATCCAAGCCGCAACGATCACGGACCAGGTAGTTTTCTCCGTGATTAAATAGATATACCGAAAAGGCGTTGCAATAGCAAGAAAGCGATCGAGTGCCATTGCGAAAAGATTTGTGTTGGAACAGTACAGGAAGGCGAAGCTGACTTTGAAAAAGAGACCTGCATGGCTGAGGTCAATAGTGTAGATGAATTTAGCGCAAAACTGGGGTGGAAAGAACGCTAGAGATGCGCAGAGATCGGCAACGGCCAGCGATACGATGAAATTATTACCAGGGGTATGGAGGCGAGGTTTCGTGATGACGAGATAAATTATGAGTCCATTGCCAATCACTGATGTCAGAACAAGGAACCATCCAAACACCCAGAACCACATATTGAGTTTATCAACTGACAGAAAATGTAACAATGATGATAGTTGATTGCATGATGTAACAAATTTTATAATATGACACATGCAGGCCTTTTAACGCTTTTATAGAAAAAAAGCAGGCGAAAATCCGTGTATGAGGGCCGTATGCGATTGCGTGAGCAGGGCTGGAAAAAGCCGTGCAGCCGCGCGAGATGCAAGCTAAAAGAAGTGGGGAAGACGGTCACATACTTATTGACTGAGTTTGGTGCGGCTGGACGGGAGATTACTTGACTTTTCTGTGCTCGGTCTGTACGTTATGACCTCGAGCCAAATTTTTCCTGTCCGGCCCTTCCCATGATTAGAAAATATATCGCCGCGAATCCTTTTTCACATTATAAAATCAAGTCTCGTCTGTCTTTGACTGGAATCGCTATTCGATCTCTGCAGTGAAAACCAAGTCAAATATAAAACTTACCTCGGCTTTTCGATCAGGAAAAAAGTACACTTGCAATGCTTGATAATGCCTTCTGGTTTCGGCAAATGACAGTAGTGTTTTCTTTTCTCGCTCTTATTTACGCGCTTGTTAAGAGTGTTCCTGATTTTTCGTGCGCACTTTACAGAATTCGGCTCCCTGTGATCTCCATTTCAGTATCGTTGGTTGAATCCTGTCTTCATTGTCAACCAATGGAGACTCATCGAATTCAAGAGGCCACATTGATGACTGCCGATAATAACTCGTTTTAATATGAAAAGTTTGTATCCGTGGCCAATATAAATCTGACGCTGTATTTTCTAAAAGTCGCCGAAAAGCACAATATTGGCTGTTTGAATTGAAATAAATCCTGATTTCAGGGAAACTTTTGCGCCGGTTGGAATTTGATCCAACACAGAGTTTTAAATACCATTTAATAAACACCGCAGTTTAATTAAAAAAAAGGACCCCACTGAATTTAATTTATGAAAAAGGTAGTTAGCTGCTTTTCCAAGCTTTTTTTTTTTTTTTTTCGGGTGTAACACATTTACCTAAACTAGTTTTATTTTTAATTAATATAGAAAAAGAAAACCGGCAGATTAAAAAATCGGAAAAGCTATTAATGCAGCTTATCGTTGAACTAATAAAACGTTTAACCAACACACATAGTGCGTAATATTTTTTGGGGGAAATTTGATTCCAAGTCGGGAGAATTAGATTGTGTTTTCAAGTGGGCGGCGATTTTCATATAGAGATTTGTTTGAAATGTAATGTCACATATCAATCAAACTTTTCTATGTTATTCTGCAATTGCCTGATTTAAGTTGCAGTTGATAGCACTTAATTACACGCTAATTTCTGTTTCTTTTGACAGTTCCCAAACAGTTTCTCCTCACTCCCGAGATCTGAAGATTAATTCTCACTTCTGCTTGGCATACATCCTTAATGTTAGTTTAGAGAATTTGATGTCGAACCTAACCGTATACCTCAGTTGATATTATTTCTTTCTTTTCATTACTTTTCTGCTCGACAATATATCGATTTCGTAAAGAGAAATTGCTTTTTGGACACTCCTAAGTGAGCAGGGGTTGAAGGTGTTTACGAAGTCAGTTTCCTGACCAGTACGATATTAGGAGTGTGCACGCAATCATTTGCCTCTTGCACGAAAGGAGTTTGAATGACGAGAGCAACAGTGATAAACAGATTGAAAAATGCAAAGAGAACGGAGATTACAAAACACCTGCTTGTTTGCGGTAGGTTTAACTCATTTATTAAAAACATCCTTTACTGGACAATTCAAAAGGGAAAGTTTCATCTCACAATTCTACTTAGAAAGTTAGTATTTGAATATGTACATTTTATTTGCAAAGTTAGTATAATTTCATTTCGTAACTGTATCATCTTTTTTTATAATTCAAACACTGAGTCGTAAACTAGAGAAATCCGTCTTTCGAAGTTTCCCGGAATTTACGGCTAAAAAATCTCATGATTTTGTTCAGGAAGAAAAACAGCGTGTGCTCTCTTTGCGAATTGAGATCAGCTCCAGTCAAAAAAGCACTACAGTCACTTCCTTCCATGGCGGTGTTTTTACTCCTGTTAGTAAGAAACATTTCCAAAAACAAGTACTAATAATCTTGAAGCCTTACCCTATCTCTCTCTCGAGTGAAAATATAAAAAGAAGCTGGGATTGATCAACATCAGAGAGCATCTAAAACAAGGACAAAATAATCACAAAGGCCAATCAGGGCAAGGGGGAATGCCACAAAGAGCGCGTAGCGAGTTAAAAAAAAAAAAAAAAAAAGCAAACTTCACAGAGCGCGCGAAAATGAGAGTGAGCCAATGAGAACTCGAAGTAAAATCAAGCCAATTTCCGGAGTGCGGGAAAACGCGATTGGGCTAGTTGCGATTAATTTTGCATCTGATTTGTTCAGAGGATGGCGCTAATTTTCTTTACCAATTTCAGAGGGAAGTAAAGAAAAGGCAATGAAATTATAAATTATAAATTATCTTAAAAATGCCCTAACATTTTTAACATCATTAAATTTCCCTAGCCACCAGGGACATTATACTGTTCAATACATCTGTTGAAATCCTCTTTGTAAACAAGCCGCATTGCACAGAAAAGTTGAAATCTTGAATACGGCACCGGCTGGTAGTTTGTCTCGCGCGAGAACACGTATCCCTTCCAGAACTTGTTACTAGTTTGGTTTATAAGTTCTTCATTCAGTTCATAGATTCTGTTGGCGTCGAGAAACGTATTTTCTGATGGGTACTTCTGACTAAAAGTGTAGTCCAGTTGCCAAATCGGATTTGAGAATTCTGAAATAAAACCAGTTAAAAAGTTACATGTAACTGCACATCCTTCAAAAGCTACTCTACAAATTTGACAGTTGATGAAGTATATAGATCACATCTTTGTAGAACTGTTGCATGCATTATAGCTTGGGAGACGAAAAAATTAAAGGGCGCGAAGTACACGTTTGGTTAGCACGCACAGTACTCTCGCATGCTTAAATTTATCCATTTTTCGCGTCTCGCGCAATGACACGTGCAGCTGGCGGGCGTCTTCCCACTCTTCTCTAAGGAAGAATAACAGTAAAAAAAAAAGGAGGGTGAGAGTTACTATCTCAGTGTGAGACTGATTAGACGAGTCGATTAATTAGGGAAATTTATCAATTCTCTACAAAGCTAACAGCAGTAGTACTTCGTTGGTAAAATAGTTTGATAGGTTTATTTTTCTAATTTTCTTTAAAAAAATCAGCTAAAGGAGGTGAATTTCTTTGATCTTTAGTAAGTTTTGACCTTAAGAACAGCACAACAAATCGGATGATATGGTAGCCATAGTGTGTATTATTAAAACGTGGTACTCCAAAATCACCGTTCCAAAGCGAGTGT